TCGAATGAATAATTTTGCTTTTAACTTCTTCAACATGCACACTTTAGGCAGTTCTGGAGGGGCCAAGAGACGTTACACCAAGTGTCTTGAAGTCCCCTACTGGTTTAGATGTTGTCTTTATTTTAATTTTTATGAATTTGTCTAAGTTCTTCAAGATGTTGCATCATCTTGATTTGAACTAGTTTGCATGTAGAAGTCTTTCCAGCTTCAGCAGAATGCATGGTTTTAGATGATTGGCATTATAATAATGTATATCGTTCTATTATGATTGGGTTGTTTTATGGTGGTTGGTATTCTAGTATTTTGTTTTCATCTAAGAAAATAAAAGTAAAATTTCATTGAAATAGTTATGGATTACCTTTTCCCTTTTTCAGTTTTTAACCTTTCTCCAAAAAAGTGGGGTTCTTCTGGAACCTCAAGCATTGCATTGGTTGCCCTTCTGGGTTGAGTCTCTTATCTGCTTTTTCAAGGGATTGATATCAGGCCTAACCTTGCTGCCATACTGCGCCTAGCCTTTTTGGACTCTATCTTCCTTGGGGGCACATGTTTAGCTTTAATCTCAAGTTACTGGCCTCTGTATAGGCACCAGATTCTAGTTAATGAAGCAGGCCACCCCCTTGTTGGTATGTAATACTTGCATTGTTCACTTTAATGTTATTATGGTTTTTTTTTAGTACAAAATCTGAAATATGAATCCCTGCATTTGGACACTTTTTGCATGGTCATTTCTGCATGTTTAGCGTTGGCCAAAAGGCTGATGTTCTCTTTGGTGCCTTCTGGTTCTTTGACAATGATCTTGGCATATGACATTGGCTTACGAGCATAACTAATGTTCTTTGGCTAATTTATTTGCAGTGCAACCCATAACTTATGGGTTGCCCAATTCATGGAGTGATTTTAGATCCAATTGCTGCAATGCAGATGGTCATCCAAGGGCAGGTAGTGATTATGAATTTTTTTTAATTACATTTTTCTCTAAGTATTTTTGTAAAGTAAATCAAACTGCATGCTGTATTCTGTTTGATTCTTAAGCAATATAATCTCTTGTTGACAACTTTAGTTTATGGAAGTTATAAAGGCCCAAACCCAGCATTTGTCTACTGGCTGGAACTCAGTTTTGGGATGAGAAAATGAGTAATGAGCTGGCTGAAGGACGATTGAGTGGCTCTACCTTTGACAGGTTGGTGTCACTAGGTGGTGTCTCTGATGTTTGATGCTGCCTAAAGATTTAGATATTCTTGCCTTAAATGCAAGTTTAGCATCCAAATTATATTTATTTCATTTACTATTTGAAAAACTGGTAGAGTTACAGATTGTTATTCATCATGTCTTTGACGGTCAGTTTTTGGAAATACTGACTACAAACTCTAAGAAAGTTTCCCGACCTAAATTCTTGTTTCTAATTCTCTTTCCTTTTAGGTCTTCCTTTTTTTCAATCTCTTTTTCAACATCTTCTTCTATTACTCTCAATCTATTTGTTCTTTACTTGTGCTGCATCAGGTCATAAGGTCTATAATTCCATTAGTTTCTAATTATGATCACTGATATTTCTAGTGGAATAAATCTGTCTAAACAGGAGTTAAAATAAACTATTCTTCTAGGCAATCTGCAGAAGTGCATTGCATGTTCTTCTCTCTTAAGGCTGTTAATAAATACGTCATTAGCAAAAATGCATATCAGGAATATTTTTCTACTAGTATTGATCATAGTGATGCATGATTATATGATCAGGTACTGCATGGTCCTTTTTGCTGGTATTGCTGCTGAAGCTCTGGTTTATGGTGAGGCTGAGGGCGGAGAGAATGATGAAAACATGTTTCACAGCATCTGTGTCCTTCTGCAACTGCCATTGTCTGTAGCTCAGTAAATCTGCAACTATCTATTTTCATGCCTTTACTCCATTAACAGGTACTAATTATTCTCACCTAGAGAGAGAAAAGATGCTAATTACTGGTTTTCATTACCTTGAGAAGATTTCAAATCGAGCTAGGTGGTCTGTTCTACAGTCTTTCAACGTGCTTAAATGGCACAGGCATGCTCATCGAGCTGCTGTCAGAGCTTTGGAACGTGGTGGTAGTCTTAGTATTGTAATTAGGAGGATTGAGCAAGCCATGTCTTCTGGCAGATGATGTGCAGAAGTACATAAACATGCTGGTTTCTGTTGTCCAATGGAGTTCAAGAGTTAAATGTTCTATATGCACCTATAGGAAGGGCTTAGATAACCATCATCTGTTCTTGTATGGCTGGGCATGGTGAACTGAGGCATGGAAGTTCTGAAGCATTACTCTGATTATTGTTCTCTATTCTTTTCCGTACTAAATACTAATTGCATGTGTCATCAATTATGAGAAAGATTTTTCCCAAATGATAGGTTTCTAAGAAGGAGAATGAATGACAACTTTTTTGAAGTTCCCAAGATATGTCCTAACAGGCCACAGTGGGCGGAGGGCACACCAAGGAAGTAACAAATTTTGGTATCCAGCTGACCATTTTTGACATATGTAGTCTAAAGAGATGGTTCCTCTTGGTATCTTTGCTGCATTTAGACCACAAATGTGAGCGAAGTTTCTCGTGTTCTCATCTTTTTGTAAACATTTTAGGATTAGAGTGCTATTTTTTCCAACGCTGTTTTGGTTGGATGAATGTTAGGTTTTGAGCCATGGGCCCTTGATTGTACCCCTAACTAATTTGATTCTGGTGTAAGCTTTTGCCGCAATCAAGCTGCCTCCATATTCTCTTAGAACAGAAGACTACAACATTTTGTACAAGCGCTTTATTGGTAAAAGTTGCCATTTTTTTGGCTAAATTTGTATATGTCGTCATTATTTTCCAATAAATGACATTTGGTGGGATTGATGTAGATGTATGTTTTAGTGTGATGAACTTTATTAGTGCGAAACTTCAATATCAAAGCTTGCATTAAGATCATTTGAATGGAAGTCTACCCCATGAATACTCATTTTCTCTTACAATTTTGATTATTGGTCACTCTTGAGTCTTGACTCTACAAAGGTTAAATGATTGTTTTAGAAAACTAACAAAAGTTGTCCAGAACAAAGCAGTAACAAGAAGTGATGCAAACTTCAATGAAGTAAAACCATTTCCGTCTCCAATAAGGATTTATGTGTAGAACTGCTGTGATTGCCATCAAGATTGCAACATAAGCCACCATAAAGGTCCAGTAGAAAACAGTCATGTCAATAAAACCATTGTTTTCTCTGTCATAATTGGAGACATTGGTCACTGATGGTGATTCAATTTTGGTGCAGTTGATTTGTAGTGGCGCTCCACAGAGGAAAGGATTTCCTTCATAGGTACTTTCATCAAAGGTCCCAAACTGAGCTTTTTGATCAGGGATTGGTCCTGATAAGTTGTTGTGTGCAATAGAAAACACAGCTAGGGTGTTTAGCTCAATCAACTGAGGGGGGATTCTCCCATTCAAATTGTTATAGGAGAGGTCCAAACTTTCAATCTGCTTAAGGTTTAAAAATGTAGAGGGAATTGGTCCTATTAGCTTGTTGTGTGACAAGTTTAGTGCATGTATCTCATTCAAGTACCCAATTTCAAGTGGGATCCTTCCCGTGAGCTGGTTGCAAGATAAATCAATACCTGACATGTAACGAAGGATGCTTCCATTGTAAACATATGACATGCTCTTTGTT